CCCCCCCCCCCCCCCCCCCCCCATACACAATAGCAGAACATTTAATCATTTTCAGAATCGTTTTTTGTGTTGCAACTCAAAACTTCCTACATTCTCACCTAGGTAAAAATGATGCAGGGACTCCCACTGCCTCCTGGGATGTCTATGTTACACAACCCAGAAGGCAGTGTTCTACTGAAGGGCACATCTGTGCTGCGGGAACCTTGCGTGTGTAGATATGTCACTAGTCTTTCCCAGGTATTTGGGAACTGGCAAAGAACCACAGCATGTCTACGCATATGCTGGGGATTCCTGTGAGTGTGCACATGATACAAGTCTCTACAGGGTCCAGGTACCAGAAACCAGCGGCATGTGTGGGCATGTGCAGGTCTGTGCCAGGTCCCAAATACCTGGCAGAAATGTGCGCAACATTTGGGCATGTGTGGGATAGTTCAAGGTGACAGAGCAAAAGAAGATAAGCGGGGTGAAGAAGTGCTGACTTTAACAGGGCCTCTAATTAAGTAAGCCTGATACATTGCCTGTTGTGGACAAAGTACAAGTTCCCCTTAAAGTGAACCCGTCACAGGTTAGGGTATTTCAAAATAAGAATTTAGATGAAGAATATATGACCGAATGTTACCTTCGGTGAAAACTGCCTATGAATCAGTTGACCCAAAGATATAGGCAGCAGAAGCTTAATGCAAATTTGGACATTTCCTCAAAAAGTCAAACTTGCTTACACCTCCTTCCATTTCCCATGCTTCCCTATTGGTTCTGTAATGTGTTGCACAACCTACCTGCGGCTTATGGGTGTGGCCAAGCTCTACTATTACAAAACAAATTGAGTTTTATATATGACTTGCCTTGCTTATATTGACATTCAGTTTTGAATGAAAGTAGTTTTTCGTAATGCAGTTTATGAATCTTCTTTCAATAAACTGAAGTTGCGTTCACCTTAAATACCCAATTATGTGCATATGAAATGAACAAGCAGGGATTTGTTATTTACGTGATTGGATAATTGAAGTAAATCTTCACTCAGTATTCCTTTAGTAAATCAGCCTCAATGTGTTCATATCCTAAACCATGAAATGGAGTTCCCTTTCAGCCATTGTTGACTTCTGTTCTGCAAGGTGCATGTTCCTGAGTAATTGCTGACATCTTGGCTTGACTAGTGAATCTGTAGAGTGGAAGAAGCATATTCATGCCAGGTATCCCAACACATGATATACTCATGCTTGTTCCAGGGCAGTGATTCAACAAGGCAAGTATATTATAGAGATATGGTAGCCATGGCCCGTATGTCCACTTTGACCAATAAAAAGACCCTTAACCAGGACATTTTTAAATGCCAAATTAATTTTTTTCCTGCAGGTAGAAGCTGTAAAGAAAGCATTGCAAGACCTGCAACTGAATGTAGTTGAGATGACAGATGAAAATGCAACATTGGATGGAGGCGATGTTTTGTTTACAGGTAATAAGGCCGTATTACTTTACACATGGTATATCATTTCAAAGCGGATGATTAAAAGATCTGGAAGAGCAAATGGAGTAGATTGAGCTAACATACAGCAGACAATAAAATCATTCACATGGCGACTCTATTAATTCAAGAACTCCAGCTTAATGCACAGTTGTAATACACCCTGTATGTCAACTGTCTCGCCTGTCATTTTCTTTAGGTGCTTTTGTTGGCCAGGCCCCAGTCACTGCATAGGCTGTAGGGTGACCGCACCATCTCCAGCTGCAATGTCCTGTGGTTGGTAGTAAGATGCACTGGTGACAAGATGGAGTAGCAAGATGTACTGGTAGCAAGATGCACTGGTGACAAGATGGGGTAGCAAGATGTACTGGTAGCAAGGGAGCTCTGTAGAGAAGACTTGACAGGACATACTGCCACTGCTTAAATTTTTAAATAGCCTTTTTAGTCATCTGAAGTACCATGTCAAACTCAGAAATGGCCGCAAGAGATGGAGGGGGTGCTAGTCATCCTGGGACAGGACGTGTGATACTGGTAGGATTACCAGGTAAAAAATAAGGGGATGCTCGCAAGATGTTGGTACGATCCTCCACATCTGGTGGTCATCCCCTTATCTCACCCTTCTGGTCAGACATACACTCGCTCATAAGGAATATAACAGGTGTCACACTAGAATTCACGGCAGGATCCCTCCTCCTGTTCCACTTTAATTCCCCACACCATATTACCAAACAATCTCTGGTAATACACCTACTGTATGCAGCCAAAACCGTGATTCCCAGACACTGGAAGTCGACACATCCACCGACAATCAGGGAATGGCTAACACGGGTTGACGCGGTGGCAAACATGCAAGAACTAATCGCTTACGATAGAGACACCACACCTCAATATCTGAAAACTTGGACAGCCTGGCATCTGTTCAAGGGCACGGACTCTTATGTTACCCTCATTCAGTAAAAACCCGACTCTTTCAACCCAGAGGATCTATTCCCTTTCCCTACCCATTCTTACTGCCCCCTAAACCTCTACCTACCTCTAACACACATTTTTGATGCCTCAGGATATATAGGGGGCGGGCGGGAATGGATGTAGAAAGGTCTGTCTCTTGTCTCTTCCCCCTCCTCTTCTCCACTATAGCCTAGCCATCCATGCCCCTTCCTCTCCTCTCCCGACCCCCATCCTCTCTGATCCCCCCTTCTAGCCCAATTCCCCACTAATCCTAAATTGGATCACCCTGTTGAGTCTATCACCAGATTGGATCTCTTTCATACCATACTCTGATATCAGTGCAAAGCATTGGACATAAAGCTAGAACTCCGGCCCAGTCCTTTAAGGTCCCCTGTAGCGTAGAGCCCACTCATTCTTAGGGATGACTACACCACTTTTAAGCAACGATCGGGCATACCAATATGGGATACCCCACCCCTGCCTCCCAAGAATGGGTGTGATGGCTAGTCGTCAATGCAAAGTGCTCAGACTACTCTTTCCTCGGACTCACAGGGGCTTGTCCCCTAGACCTTCCCCCTCCCCCCTCGCTTCTTCTTCTTATGCAGAATTGACTTCATGTTAGATACTGTATTTGTGTATACTTGCTTGTACCATGACTGTTTGATATTTCTGATCACAATAAAAAAAAATAAGAGGATAGAAGAAGACAGTGCTTTGGAGGCTACTGCAGTTTTGGTTGTTTTTATATTCTTTTTATTCAGTTAATAACCTTTATTGTGTTTATTTGTTTTGCTTTCCAGGACGAGAGTTCTTTGTCGGTTTATCAAAAAGAACCAATCAGCGAGGTGCAGAAATACTGGCTGATACCTTTAAGGTCAGACCCCAAGTTAAGTTATGCCTTTTTGCTGTGGTGATAAGGCACTCCTAGTCATTAGCTGTGATTCTGGGTTAAAGCAGACAACTGAAAAGGATCATTGCTAAAAAGCAGCTGATTGGCAGCAAGTTACTAACATGCATTGTATTTATGATCAATTTAGCAGTCCATTGCGCTAATTCTCCTCTGACCTTAGCCTCACCCTAAGGATAATTCTTTGCAAAAGACAAGTCCAACTTTATAGCTACCATAAAACTAACATCCTGGCTTAACCTTATTTTTCTAACTAACCAGCACAACCCTCTAAAGAGTTGTCCGGAGTCACCCCCCTAGGTGGTGTGCATTCCACAACTGGGATGTCGGGATTACCTCTGTCATTGGGGAAAGCTTCCAGTGGGGAGGGTTTTATCTAGAAATGTTGTTGAGTAAATCAATGGCTTCTGTACCACAAAGATACAGATTGGCCTACATGATCTAAACCAGTGGGGTGGGGATCAATGTAAATTGCTAGATATAGGGGGTCTCAACTGCTGCCATGACATCCCTAGGGGGGCACATGTAACATGTAAAATAACAGTCGATTACAAAGACTGTTGGGACTGGGGATATACTAAAGATGCAGCTGGAGACTGGAGAAATAGGGCAAGAGAAGCCATAGATTGAGGACATACTAGATGTGTGTGCAGGAGAGAATTTATGCTACTGGTATTGTTGGAGACTGAGGAAATGCTAGATGAGTTGTTAGTGACTGGAGACATAATGCAGAAGATAAACATGGAGGACATGTTATAGGTGTGATTAAGGACATGGTACAGGAGACAGTTAAAGCCTGGGAATATACTACAGGTATGAGTGGGGACAAGAAGAGACTGAGAGCGTGCTACAGGTGTAGTCAAAGACATGGGGCAGGGCACAGTTAAACACTGTGCACAGACTGGAGACATGCTGCGAGAGACAGATACTGTAAATATGCTACAGATGTGGATGAAGACTTGAGACATGCTCCTGGAAATATTTAATGTTTGAGGACCTGCTAAAGGTGTGGCTGGAGACTGAAGACATGTTGCAGGAGACAGTTTTAGACTGAGGACATGCTACAGGTGTCGTTGGTGTGGTTGGAGACTGAAGACATGGTGCAGGAGATAGTTATAGACGGAGGACATGCTACAGGTGAAGTTGGAGACTGGAGAAATTTGGGCTGGAGACAGTTGGGTTTGCCAAGCAGTGTTAATTTTTCCTCATCCATCTAAATGGGACTCCCTGTCTGGCTAAAGTATTCTGGCAGCAGCAAGTGTGCCGCTGTCAGAATACCTGAACAGTGACTGCAGCTTATTGGCTTGACCTTCATCAAATGGAGGGACACTGACAGGGCTTGAGTTTTGGCCAAGTCAGCAGGACTTGGCAGTGTATGGCCAGCTCTAGAGACTGAAGACATGCTACATGTGTGTTAGGAGATTGGAGAAATGATGCAGGAAACAATTACTGCTACAGCTGTGGTGGTGACTAGAGACATGCTGAAAGAGACAGAGACTGGAAACATGCTAAAGTTATGGGTGGGGACTGGAGACATGCTGCAGGAGAAAGTTAGAGACTGTGAGCATGCTACAGGTTTGGTTGGAAAAATGGTGCAGAAGATAGAGACTGAGGACATGCTACAGGTGTGGTTACAGGAGAAAGACCTGGTGCAGAAGAGACGGACACTGAGAACATGTTACAGGTGTGGTTAGAAACTAAAGGCCTGGTGCAGGAGATAGAGACTGAGAACATGCTTCAGGTGTGGTTGGAGACTGGAGCCATGGTGCAGGAGACAGTTATAAACTGGGGACATGCTCCAGTTGTGGTTGAAGACTGAAGACCTGGTGTAGGGGATAGAGACTGAGGACATGCTATAGGTATGGTTAGAGACTGGAGACGGGCGTCATCTGTTAGGAATCCCTTCCATTACAATCCCTTTATAAACCATTTATCTCACGCCTGCTACTTCCTGTTGGGTCCCAGGGGCCTTAGGTTGGGCACCAGAGCACCAGTGGGTGTACATATCAAAGGATGGAGCATTGTCCCAGGTTCCGATCATAAATATCCCTTTATGTATGAATACAGTTAACTTGTTAGGGTAGGAACATTGCTGACTTGTTTTGATTAAATTGTTAATCATTGACTTGAAACTAGTATTCAGCCAGTGAAGCTAAAATGCCTTACTTGCATACTTGCCTGGGTCAGCAAATCACTAAGTAGGGAGAGTGGGGTGAGGATAGTGGCTCTGTAGCTTGTACCTTCAAACTTAAGGGAGGAGAGGAAGAGCCCATATTCCTTTTAGTCATTAAGTAATCTCAGCTGCTTGAGGAAGTTTAGTAACTGCTCTTCTGTGATTTCTTTCTGCAGGATTATGCCGTTTCCACAGTCCCCGTGTATGACAACTTGCATTTAAAAAGTTTTTGCAGTATGGCCGGACCAAACCTCATCGTCATTGGCTCAAGCGAGCCAGCACAGAAAGCTCTCAAGGTAAAGACTGACCTTATTAAAATATCTGCAAATAAGCCCCAGGGCATGACCTGTCTTGTTAGGGAAATTAGTGTTTTTATGCCAAGTGAAACAATGTAACCGGAATGGAAGATGTCTGTTCATCCTCACACGCTGTTTAATGTTCTGTATCTGGAATAATGTAACCCCTATTAAACCCGTAAGAGGCTCTGTGCCTTTTGCCAGATTAATGTTTAATCACCCCCCACCCCTACCTCTTGGCCAGAAGGAGCCTCTGGGCAGAATCAAGGTGGCTTCTTAGGCTGGTGCCATGTATCCAGATCATAAAATAAACCCTTTGGCATTATTAGATCTCAGTATGCGAAGCCAAAGCATGTATTAGATCACTGTCAACATTCCTGAGAGTTTCACTCTACTGTGTGTATCCTGTATATCAAATTCAAGCCGGATCTGAAACCGGGAGAGTTGGGTAAAGGACAAAATGGCCTGGTATTTAAAGCTGGACTCCAGGTAGATGTAATAAAAAACAACAACACATTTTTTTCCAGTTATGTGTTCAATAAAAAAGTATTTTTACATTAAACTAGTATAAAGCTTAATCAGCACAGCCTAGTAAAGGCAAGGTTAGCACTATGAGCCAATCAAGGCTCTTTTCCTTAAAAGGAAAATATTTGATTGGTGGGGAGAGTAGAGGGGTGACATTGTCCGTGTGCTGCTGCTCCTTCACTGTCCAGTCACTGGCTGGAGTGGGTCTCAGACCAAGCCAAAATTGTTAAAGGAGGCGTAAAGGCAGCCATAGGACTTGAACAGGAGCACAGCAAAGTAACCAGAGCACTTGAAGGGGGGCACGGCACAAGCAGCCAGAAGACTTGGAGGGGGTGCGGCAAAAGCAGCTAATAAGACTTGAAGGAGGACATGGCACAGGCAACCAGATGACATGAAGTAGGGTGCAGCACAGGCAGCCAGAGGACATGAAGTAGGGTGCAGCACAGGCAGCCAGAGGATATGAAGTAGGGTGCAGCACAGGCAGCCAGAGGACATGAAGTAGGGTGCAGCACAGGCAGCCAGAGGATATGAAGTAGGGTGCAGCACAGGCAGCCAGAGGACATGAAGTAGGGTGCAGCACAGGCAGCCAGAGGATATGAAGTAGGGTGCAGCACAGGCAGCCAGAGGACATGAAGTAGGGTGAAGCACAGGCAGCCAGAGGACATGAAAGGGGGGCTAGGCACAGGAAACCAGAGGACTTAAAGGGGGTGCAGCACAAGCAGCCAGAGGATCTGAAGGGGGCACAGCACAGGCAGTCAGAGGGCTTGAAAGGGAATGCGGCACAGACAGCCACAGGACCTGGATGGGGCACTTGGTGGAGTCATGGAACATGTAGTCCCAAGGAGGGGAATCAGTGGATTGAGTATGCAGTTATAATTGCACATGCTCCCTGACCAGGGAAGTGGTGCAGGAATTCCATTAGTCTGTGCTTGTAAAACCAGCAAATTATAAGTGTTTCTGCACTTTACAGTTACTGTTCTCTGCCCACCTCACCTGTATAGATCTTATGCTGCTAATAAATGTAAGTCTTTAGTACAACTTTAATTTTATCACCATATTTGCAGGCCCTCCAGGGCAGTACTCTCCTGATCATGTTTTATGTATAGGTTTTGGGGGTGTTCATGAAACTTTTGGCCTCTGCCGTGTATTTGTATTTGTATGACTGTGGTAGACACATTAGCCTATAAGCTCCACATAAACAGAGGCTGATGTAGTCCACCCTGTCTGTCCTGTACAGTGGAATATATTGTAAAGCGCTGCGCAAACTGTTGGCGCTATATACATCTTGTATAATAATAATAATATGTTGGTGCCATACAAACATGGGTAATAAGGTTCAGACTTACCTCTGGGCTCGTGGTTGGTACATGTACAGTGTGCACACCAGAATGCCTTCTCTGTCCTGACTCCTATAGACAACATTGTGCAAAGGTTAATCTGCGAGATGCAATGGAAATATTTGCCTGCAACCTTACTCTAGCTCTGGGAGAGAGATAAATTGCTGATATCTTTCAGCATTTGTGAATAGACCTGGAAAACATTAAGCAGCCTTTCCAGACCTCTGGGGAGCTGATACACTCGAGTAAGAGCAAGCCGGGGGGATAAATGGAAAATATTATCTATAAGGCGCCATGCAAAGTGCAATATGTCCGCTTTCCAATAAATCATATAGTCATAGGGCTGTAAAGGAAAACTGTGCTGAAACAAGCAAGCCGCCTTTGTCTTTCCTTCTAAAAACGTGACTTGCCGGCTCTCATGTTGATCCAATGGCTTCAGTATTTACACAGGCAATGACCACAAGCACATTGGGCTGACCCTTACCTGCTGTATACTTCCTCCAGATCATTGACTCAGAATGTATTGAATTTAGAGACAGCTGGCCAGACAGACAGTATTCATAGAAGGAGATCATTAATAAAAGCCTTCTCTTGGCACAGAAGAAACAATAAGATTGCTGGTGACCTTATTGTTCTTGTTTCGTGGCGCCATCCATTGGCCACTTCAGGACCCATTGAAGTTATAGACGGCGATATGTGGATATGTGTCAGGACTGCGATGCATTATTTCTAACATCAATTAAGAAACATGGAGCAGCTCTACCCTCTTCTCTTCAATCCCGCTGCTTGAACCTCGGTGCCTTGTAAAGCTTCCGCTAGAGCATTCACTGAGCAATAGGTAAAAAAATGGCACTCGCAATGGGGATGCGTCCAGCCAATACTTTATTTGCAAAAAGGCATAAAAGCAGCAAAACACACAAACAAATGCTTACATGTTCAGCCCCAACACTGGGCCTTAGTTGTAGCAAGGAATGACATATCTTAAGTATCGTAGTCACTCCCCTCCACCTGGCGATGAAGAGTTTATAGATAAACTCTTCATCGCCAGGTGCACATACAAAAAGAAAAACATTTTGTAGATGTATGGAAAGACAGCAGTTCCAGATATTACAGCTAGACACTGCTATAGTACTGTCTTCCCACTCTGAAGATTAGGATTAAGGTCGGGTGGATATTATCTTTATGGGTATTTTTACCGGGCGAGTGCCGTTTTTTACCTATAACATTTCTAACGATTTCTCTTGGCAAAGGTTATATATTTAGGACAAAAGATGACAAATGTCTGTCAAGTTTAAAACCTCCTACATCCTCAAGACCCTTGAGCCATAGTCCATCCAGAGAAATGCAGACAGATTTTATAAAGCGCGCTTCAGTTTGCTGTAAGGCATCATCCACACTGCTTAAAGTCGGCCAGTACAGATCTCTGCAGAGTGCACGGCCGTAACGGGCCGTTCCCGGGAAGGACAGGTGCTGCGTGTGATTGTACGCAGCAGCCTGTTCTTCTCTGTGGGGGGATGCAGCCGTAAGCTCACATGAGCTGCACATCCGTGCAGGTGTAGGTGTCCATACTCGTGCACAGACAGGATGGATCCTGTCTGCGTCTGAGCACAGACACCCGCACTGATGTGCAGTTCAGGTGAGCATACGGCCGCATACTCCCATAGGGAAGAGCAGGCTGCTGCGTACAATCACACGCAGCACCTCTCCTTCCGGGGAACGGCCTGATACGGCCGCGCACGCCCCACGGATCTATCTTCATAGATCTAAATATCATTATCTTCATAGATCTGAATATCATTATCTTCATAGATATAAATATCATTATCTTCATAGATATAAATATCATTATCTTCATAGATCTGAATATCATTATCTTCATAGATCTGAATATCATTATCTTCATAGATCTGAATATCATTATCTTCATAGATATAAATATCATTATCTTCATAGATCTGAATATCATTATCTTCATAGATCTGAATATCATTATCTTCATAGATATAAATATCATTATCTTCATAGATATAAATATCATTATCTTCATAGATCAGAATATCATTATCTTCATAGATCTGAATATCATATTCCTGTAATTATTTGGCAGACTATGCAGCAAATGAGCGATCACCGCTATGATAAGATGACTGTCCCCGATGATGCGGCTGCGAATTGCATTTACTTGAACGTACCGGGAAAAGGGCATGTCCTCTTACACAAAGCACCCGAGGAATACCCAGAGAGTGTCAAGGTAATATAAGAAGAAGCTCGGTTTTAGAGCAGTAAACATTGTTCACATACTGTATACAGCAGATGTCAAATGTCTGATCTAGCGGGTGCTTACTACAACGTAGATTGTGTATTAATACAGCTACTGCAGCAAGGTTTCAATTAGAGACAGCCCACCTGTCATCAGGTTAGGGGCATGTCAGGTGGGCGGGATTCAAGCAGCAGTATACTGCTGATGTCAGCCATTAGCAGCGATTTGAATCGCTAAAGTCACTGGCGAATTGCCGTTAAGAAGTGATTTATCGTGGCTACAGATTGCACACCGCTCTGTGGTGCGCGCATCATAAATACAACCCCCTGTGAGCAAAAAAAAGTGAAAGGTGAAAATGCGCTCCACACAAAAAAAGTGCATGAGGGTGCTGTGGTCCTCCTTCAAAGAGGAAGGTCCTCGATTTCCTGAACGCCCCCAGGGACCATCCTGAGGTGCAAGGCTCCTGCTGGTGAACATGTCGCTGTAACGTGTGCGGTGTGTATCTAATGCCATTTTTTCTAAAATTTTAAGAGTGAAGAAGGATCAGCAGCCATGTCAAATTTTTACTCCCTTCTTTCTCTGCACCAGGGGGATTTAATTAGGAAATGTTGCCAAAGGGAGTGTAATGAAGGGAAATTTAACCACAGAGGGAATGGAGGGGAAGTGTTCCAATGGGGGACTTGTTCTGGAGGGATTTCCCTCGCTTTGGAGAGACTTCCTCTACATCCATATTGTGTCTAGGGCACAGGAAGTGAAAGGAAATCCTCTTAATGAGACGCAAGTAACAGGGGCCTTTGGAGGGTACGTAAACCCCAACAATTAACTTATTTCCTTCCTTTTGGTCCATTAAATATAATATTGAATGTGTTTTGTTCTATTTGTTTGACAAGTGCAAAAAAACAATGTAAAAAATCCAGAGCAGTCCTCTGCTCACTTCCTGTGTTTTCTCAAGGAGTCCAATTAGTCCTCCCAGTTCTTATCTTGGGACTACAGAATGATTAGTTCCTATGTTGTGAAGATGGGAGAGTGGGGAGGATTTGAGTAGTTTAGCAAAGGATAACTGGGCAGGGCTGACACTGCTCATACATATCCAGCAGATCAACAGGTATTTTTCTGTACTTGCAGGGTCTATAGAGGGGTAAAACATGGGGGATGTGCAGAGATGTATTGCATATGTTTTCTATTTTTTTGCCCTGACATTCACTTTAACCCTTCCCTATTTAAGACGGTCTTTAGATATGCTTTAGGGCCAGTTCACACCAATTCCGTTGCGTTCCAGAGTGGTAGCTGCTGGAGCACACAGCAATCGCACACTCCCCCCTTCGTTCTGGGGCGGGAGGGGGCGTGGTAGTGCATTGAAGTCAATGGCACCACCGCCATGCCCCCCGCCCGCAGTGCGATCGGACGCGTGGCAAAACATTGCCTGCATTCCGGTTCAGTGGAATGCTGCATGCTCTTTTTTTTGTGTTCGCACTGGAACAGAACGCAGGCAATGTTTTGGGGGCGTGGCTTCGGTACCATTGACTTCAATGCACCGCCACGCCCCCGAACGAAGGGGGGAGTTTAGTGTGCGATTTCTGTGCGTTCCATCAGCTAGCTCTCTGGAACGCACCGCAATTGCTGTGAACTGGCCCTTAAATAAAATCAGAACAAGCACAGGTAATGTCTGGTTAAGGTCATCACCAACTCTGCCGCTTTTACTTTTTGCAGGTCTTTGAGAAGCTGAAGGATCACATGTTGATCCCCATAGCCAGTTCGGAGTTAGCCAAAGTGGATGGATGCCTGACCTGCTGCTCCCTACTGATAAACAAGTCACCTGACGTCTGAGCTTACGGACTCCGCCATTGCCCTGGGCACCGATTCTATCCTGTGGTCACTTCTGTAATGCCCTTTAACCTGACAATCTACCACTGAGCTACTAATACTAAGCGGCGCGTCTTGTGGGAAAGAATAAATAAACCACTCCCCCCTCCCCCACCTAGGGCTGGATTTTAATTGCTAGATTAATTATTACATCACTTTCTATTCATCTATAAACGCCTTAAATTCATGAACACACGTTTTGTAATTCTGTATTAATAACCAACATTTGTCACTATACAGCATTAAAGGAAAACTCTACCCAACACGGTTCTGCACTCTTGTGGTGCTGGTCCAACTCTGCTGGCTCCTCAACTCTCATTTCATCAGAACTTGTACGGGAAGGGGGGGGGGGGGGGGCATTGACTCATGTTTTGTCATGCTTAGTCAGAAGACAGGACACAGCAGTCTGGAAGGATGCCATCCAGATGTTGTTTGCAGTGATTTGCACACTGACCTCCGACCATAACAATGTGACAGTCTCTGCAAATATGGATTTGTATTATTTCTGTTATGTTTCTGTATTACTTTAGGTCAAATCTTGGAGCTGCATGATGAGAATACACTGCGTTTATGCATGCCTTACCCAGCTGGTATTTCAGTCTTTGGACGCCAGCGCTTCTGATTTCCTATCCTTCATTATATCTCATAGAACAACTCCAGGATTTTAAAAAATTACCCTTTGCAGGGGGGCTACCCCCACCCTGCAAGGGTTAAGTGCTCAATATGTCTAGGGATCGAAAATAAAGTAGATATAACCACCAGACCTTCGGTCCCATCTGGCTGCTTGACTGGTCCCTGCATCTTATTCTCCCCCGTGCTCCAGAAGTCTAAAAACCTATAGTCCTCATCAGAAGACTATATGGGAAGAACCAATGTAAGGGGCCACTCTGATGAAGGCAAATAATTGTTAGGTGCATCCATCAAAGTGCCCCCTTACATTAGTGATGTGTTGGCCCTCCACAACAGTCCCAGTTTCAAACGTGGCCCCTTAAGAAACATGGAAAAGTGGGGGGCATGCTGATGGGAACAACCAATGTAGGGGGGCACTCTGATGGAAGCAACCAAAACCAATGTAGGGGGCCACTCTGATGGGAACAACCAATGTAAGGGGCCACTATGATGGGAACAACCAATGTAAGGGGCTCTCTGATGGGAACAACCAATGTAAGGGGCTCTCTGATGGGAACAACCAATGTAAGGGGCTCTCTGATGGGAACAACCAATGTAAGGGGCTCTCTGAATGGGGCAACTAATTATTCGGTGTATCCATCGGAGTGCCCCCTTAAATTAGTTGCCCATTATCAGATTATTTTCTCAATTTCTGTATGTGTGTGCCTACGCACCTTCACAGTAATGCGTTGGCCCTCCACAACAGTCCCAGTTTCAAAAGTGGCCCCTTAAGAAAATGAATTGCCCACCCCTCCCCTATGATCATCAGCTCCATCTAGTTGCCATAATGTGGTATTATCCCTGCTTCTCTACTGCCAATATTAACTGAAGAACATTGAAGCAGAAGAGAAAATATCCTGAGAACAGTCGACTGTGCCCCACTTTGGGAAAATAAAAACTGCCGACTTCAGTCATCCCTAAAAATGGATTGTTTAGCCTGGTACTTGCAGTACATAGTGGTTGTTAAATCTAACGGGGATCCCCATAGTAACAATGGTTACATTCATCTGCCAATTCCCCCCATCGTTCTCTAAAATGATTACATTGCATCTCTCGTTACTATGGTTTATTTCCCATGATCCTCGGCTCCATCTAGTGGCCATAATAAGGTATTTTTCCCGATTCACTGCTGCTCATAATATTTGAAGCACATTTGACCAGCAGAGAAAGTAGCCTAAGAACATTCGATTGTGCCCCATTCTCACAACAGCTGTTTAATCCGCACACAACGCATATACGAGCAGTTTTGCCGGACGAATAGCTCTGTGAATTGCTTTATTAGGAGACCTCTATGTATGTGGCCAGTTTCAAAGTCTCAGGTGGCAGGATGTCCCTGCCGTGGTATGTGTCTCTGTCCCCTTCCTACACTGCCATAATGGAGATGCCACTCACCCGCAGCTTTCCTACCCAATGATGTATTCATTAACCCCCTGAGACAAAGTGACGCCATCATTTGCCTTTGTAATGGCTGTGACTGCTGGCCGGAACTGTGAATAGCGGTGGGGATCTCTCTTCACTCGAGTGACGCAAGGAGCCAGCATGGGATTCAACTTGCCAGCAAGTAAGAGTGAACGCGTTTTGGGTGGAGTTGGATGGTGAAGCAGGGAATCTGAAGCCAAGCTGCAGCTGAATTCTTAAAACTGAATAAATGATCCTCATGTTTGTAAAATGGTTTAGTCCGCCATAAGCTAAGCGCTGTGATCCGAGTAGCTGCCGGCAGGTTGGGTCGGCCGATCTTTTTATCTCTCGACCCCGCCAGCATGTTCTCTGTATCTAAATCTCCATGTCTGTCAAACTGGGGCAGCTACTTTAACCCCGGGCACCTTTTTCTGTAAGACTTTCAGGTCACTTTTTTTTTCTTCTTAATTTTGTATGATGGAGCATACAGCCAGAGAGTTGATATTCCTTCTACTGCAGCAGGAGGAGTGAGACTTCTAAATCAGGTTGCTTACTGTTAAAGTGCAGAGCCAGGACAACTCCCCACCCCCCAAATCGAGTCCTCAAAAGATGAAAGAAGGGAATAGGCTCAGTTCACAGATCACACCAGGATAAGGATCTTTATTTTTGTTAAAAGTGACAGTCATTTCATGCCAACGAGTCCAATGGGATTCCAAAATGACAATCACATGACTGAAATAAAGTTCCTTTTGGTGCTGAGCCTCTCGTCAACTTGCCAAGCTCTCCCCAAATCTGATGTCTGAATTTCAGGTGGATTAAGCCTTATGGGCCCCATTTACATGTCTGTGTTGCAGTAATTCATGTAGCGTGCGTTGTGGTGTTATTCATTGTGAATGGCACCCCAACCTGCTTTGTAGCGCGCCACAGTGCACAGTAGTGTGTTGCGGTGCCTTGCATTAGAAAGTGAGGGTCACGTGCGATTTTAGGCAGGTTGGGGTGCGTTGTCAGCCCATCCATTGTAAATGGGCTGCCTGAATGCAATGTATGTTAACACGGGACGCCGAGGTTATTGTGACGCAGAGGTGTAAATGGGTCCCGGTGTCTGTTATCATTAAACATTCACCTTGAAATGGAATTGGTCACCCGCATTCAAAGCGGCAGCCGTTCTGCAAGCCGAGCCTTCTCCGTGGAAATCTACCGACATCACCGGCTTGAGGTAACGGACGCAAACATGGCTGCTGCTCCTCTCTCTGTTGTCAACGAGCGGAAGAGAGCGATATTCTAGTCCTTTCTTTTTATATATATAATGTTGTCTGCTGAATAAATGTTGTCATTTTGAGAAAACACGTTTTAGACTTGAACTAGACTTTTAGATTTAATCTTGAACATGTGGGTGTTGTAGTTTTCAAAGAAACTGTGATTGCACATGTATAAAAAATGTAACACTGTCAGTGAACAATAAAGTTGTTACAATAAGGGATTTATTAAGACGTTTCTGAAGTTGTGCTTTTTTGTGTGTGAATAATGTGTATTCATCATGTGTGTTCTGTATGTGTGTTGTGTATTCTTCATGTGTGTTCTGTATGTGTATTGTGTATTCTTCATGTGTGTTCTGTATGTGTATTGTGTATTCTTCATGTGTCTTCTGTATGTGTGTTCTCTATGTGTATTGTATATTCATCATGTGTGTTCTGTATGTGTATTATGTATTCTTCATGTGTGTTCTGTATGTGTGTTGTGTATTCTTCATGTGTACTCTGTATGTGTATTATGTATTCTTCATGTGTGTTCTGTATGTGTGTTGTGTATTCTTCATGTGTACTCTGTATGTATGTATGTGACTGTGTATCTAGATCCAAGAACACAAATGTCACCTGTTGCTGCTCCTCGGATTTGGTGGCTGCATTTGTTTTCTTTTTACAGGATTTGTTTCTTTTCATTGTATTTCCTTTATTCGCCGGGTGATCCTGCCAGTAACACACTTCCTGCCCTGGGGTGGCAACATTCACTCAATGTTATATATCTATAGAGGGGAAGTGTTGTCACCATACGACAGGAAGTCTGTTAGGACTACAAAACACGTCCCCTTTACCATACCATAGTTGGGGGGAGGTGTTCTGCAGTCCTGACATGCTTTTTGATAACATTGTTTGAGGTAAGAGTGCAGAGTGCAGAGTACACAGGACGAAGGACGGCCTTACATAGCTCACAGAACCAATAGGTATTTTTTGTACTGATCAGATATAACAAGATGCTTCTAATGATATATTTATAAAGGGAACTGATCATATATTTCATCATTTACATCCTAAAATTCAATGTATTTGATCATTTATTGATATATTTTAGATCTTTTGATCACAGTAGTATGAAAATGTTTTTTTTCATTTGTTTCGTCCAAAACAATTTTTTTTGCTGTGCACATGTCTAAAATACACTCAGGAGAATTCATCAAAACTGGAACAAATGTGCATGGAAACCAATCAGCTTCTCTCTTTCATTTCCAAATCTTAACTGAACAAACTGAAGAGAGAAGCTGATTGGTTGCCATGGGCAACTGCTCCAGATTCTGTCTGCTCCAGTTTTGATAAATTCCCCCCCAGTGTATATAAAGGGTACAGAGCAGTAAAACAAGCCAGTTGTGAAGCGCTGCAAAAGCATATATAGCGGGCCCCATGTGCACATATTATTACCAATTATACTCCTGCAGGTTTATATATAACACATTTGCTTTACATGCACCTTGTATTCGCTTTTAGTAAAGCAAAGTGTTCTCCACCATTTTTTGAGCCTAATTCATAAATGACAGGGACACTGAACTGAAACACAGGAAACCGTTGTCACCAGCACCTGAGAAGAACATTTATTATAGCAAGAAAAAGGAGTGGACACGTGCGCCCCCTGCTGGTTATTTTTAATATGGCATTGAATAAACAACATTTAAAGTGACACAGAACTCGAGTTCAATCTTAAAAAATGTCTTATTTGTGTATCACTCGGCTGTGGATCCTCAAATCATCT